CGAAAAGGTACATTACCCTGAGGGTCCCAATATGGGCCATGTGTTTGCCCATCGGTGCTGTTATCTCCCCGACGCATGTGTGCGATTGCTGCCCCCAGCGCGAACCATATGATAGCGAAAACGATTAGCCCGAGAATGTGTAACGAAGGACGGTTATGATGAGCGGTGTCGCGCTGGGGTAGCGCCTTGTCGAGTCTTCGAGGCGCTCTGTCTGGCGGGTTTCCCCGCCCTTGCTTCAGGTATTGCGTTATTGGCTCGTTGCCGAGCGGTTGATAGTAACGCAATGATGAAGCGTATATGGTACCAATCTGGTCGTCTAGACGTCGTACCTCTCGTGTAGCTTCTTGCTCTTGAATAGATCCTCGTAAATGTACTGGGAGTGGTGGCGCAGGGTAGTAGGTGGTCACGAAGATCGTGCCGAAGAATGTGAGGCTGAGAAGAGCAAGAGCTGACCACACGAGAGTGCGGCCAGCTCCGCTACCAAGTCGAAAGTGAGCCTGGTAACTCAAATCGGGCATATAGCCTGGCAAATTGCATCCATCGCTCTGCTGAGAGGGTACAGTATGAGGGGTGGATGGGTAAGATAGGATAAAATCGATGTAATGATCTTTCCAGCACATAGCGAACACAAGCAGTGTCCGGGCAAATAGGGCGCGCGTGCCTTGAGCCCAAGGCAGCGGCGCGCGAGCTATGCTCCCGATACTGTAACATCTCCCAAAGAGCTACCCTTAAAGTCAGAGCTCTCTAGAATGAAATGGATTGCATCGCAGTGCTTGGCCGCCTTCTCCCAAGACGGCGCCCTCTGGAAGTCGAGAGTGTGGGCATACGGCAAGAAGTTGGACGATTGCATCGAAGAGGACGGCACTTTTTCGAGGGCATCGGCAAGCAGCTTTACGTCGACCTCCGTTGACTGGCGCCTGGGCGACGCCATTCCACAAGACTGGTCTCGACCCTTGCTCCCCAAAAAAGGTACGGAGGGAAACAACTCGAGCTCAGACAATAAACCACGAACCCAAACAAACACATCTCAAGCTCAAAACGAACACAAACTCAATCTCAAACCAGCACTCTAGCTCAAAGACCACATCTCGACTTCAACAACAAAACAATATCGACCAAACGCTCAAGCTCAAAAAAAAGGGCAGCGTAGGCCACCACGTAAGCAATATGGTACAATCTATGTGGGGCACCCTATGTGGTGCAAGCTATGTTTCGCAATCAGTGTGGTTCGATGTATGTGGTATGCGCTACGCCGTGCAATGTATGTTGTGTGGTTCCTCATCCTCCTCCCCCCTCCTCCCTCCTCCTCCCTCCTCCTCCCTCCTCCCCCCTCCTTCTCCTCCTCCTACTCCCTCCTCCTCCTCCCTCCTCCTCCTCCTCCCCCCTCCTCCTCGTCCTCGTCGTCGTTGTCGTCGTCCTCCTGCTCCTCCTCCTCCTCCTCCTCCTCCTCCTCCTCCTTCTATTCCTCCTCCTCCTACCTCCGACCTCCTACATCACCTACATCATATTTCCCTCCTCCTACCTCCTGCCTCCTGCCTCCTACCGCTTAACGGGTTTTGGCGATGGTGCCACGTGATGGCGATCTACATCATAATAGCGGCTATGGTTAGCACCCTCAGTGAATCGAATCGCTATGGGTGAGACTGTTTTGCGAAGGACACGTGCATATATATATATATATATATATATATATATATACATAAATACATATATATATATATATACACCAGAACCACGCGCGCGCTACGCGCGCGCTTAGGTTCTAGTACACGTTTGAAGCACCGTCGGCGGGCAATTGGCGGACTCCATGACGCTTGTGTGCTATGGGTCGCAGGCCCGCTCGTCGGATGTTGTGTACTCTGCGGTGATCAGATATTCTCCTATCCAGGTCCTGCTTTGTGGCACCTAGTGGCTTGTAGTGGCTCTCAGTGATTCCTCCTCCGCGCGCCGTCGATGTACACAAGCACGCCGTTACGCTGTGCGCCCCTCAACCCCAACCACTCGCGCGGGGCCAGCGGACGTGAAGCCGAATGCTGGAGAGCTATACTACTTGCGCCTTCTCCTCCTGCTCGTGACTGGAAAGGGCGTCACGTCATGGATGGCCCTGAAACGCCACCCTCATCATGTTCCCGGACCGCCTTCCGGGAACATGATGGGGACGACCTTCTGAGGGCCTCCAGTGGGCCTCTTGGGGGCCTCTCGGAGGCCTGTTGGGCTCTCCTGGAGGCGTCTTGGGGCGCGCTCAGGGCAATGTTTGGGCATCTTGGGGGCCTCTCGGGGGCCTCCCAGGGAGGCTCTTGGGGGCCTCTTTGGGGCCTCGTGGGGCCTCGCGGGGCCCGCTGGGCTCGCTTAGGCAGTCTTGAAGCCCTGTCGGAGCTCTCCTGGAACCGTTTTGGGCGGCTCCTGGGCCATCTTGGGGCTCTCCTGGGCCGTCTTGGGACGATTTTGGGTGTCTTTTGGGCCGTCTTGGGGCGGTCTTGGGGGCCTCTTCGGCCGTCATGGAGCGGTTTTGGGAGACTCTTGGACGGCCTATATACATATTTATATATATATATATATATATATATATACATATATACATATATATATATACATACATACATACATACGGAAGAAATGAACAGACGTGAAAGGAAGTGGCACGTCTCGGGAGGGCTTGGGGAGGGGTATATAGATACACACATGTATATGTATATATGTATATATACACATACATACAAAAACACACATATATATATAGAAACATACGTAAGACATGTAGGATTGTGTACACAGGAGAAGGACAACTTATAGAAACACACGTGCGTCGTCCAAGGCGCCTCGGAAAGCGCCTCGGAAAGCGCAGAATATTCATCCAAGGCGCGGAATCATGTCCCCGGACCGTCTTCCGGGAACATGATGGGGACGACCTCCTGAGGGCCTCCAGTGGGCCTCTTGGGGGCCTCTCGGAGGCCTGTGGGGCTCTCCTGGAAACGTCTTGGGGCGCGCTCAGGGCAATTTGTTGGCATCTTGGGGGCCTCTCGGGGGCCTCCAGGGAGGCTCTTGGGGGCCTCTTTGGGGCCTCTTGGGGCCTCGCGGGGCCCGCTGGGCTCGCTTAGGCAGTCTTGAAGCCCTGTCGGGGCTCTCCTGGAACCGTTTTGGGCGGCTCCTGGGCCATCTTGGGGCTCTCCTGGGCCGTCTTGGGACGATTTTGGGTTTTTTTTGGGCCGTCTTGGGGCGGTCTTGGGGGCCTCTTCGGCCGTCTTGAAGCGGTTTTGGGAGACTCTTGGACGGCTCTCTATATATATACACACATACACACATATATATTATTATATATATATATATATTATACATATATATATATATATGTATACATATATACGGAAGACATTGAAATACGTGGAAGGCAGTGGCACGACTCGGGAGGGCTTGGGGGAGGGGTATATATATATATACACATATACACACACACATATATATATATATATATATATATATAAACATACGTAAGACATGTAGGATTGTGTACACAGGAGAAGGACAATCTATATAAACATAGGTACGTCGTCCAAGGCGCCTCGGAAGGCGCCTCGGAAAGCGCAGAATACTCCTCCAAGGCGCGGAATCATGTTCCCGGACCGCCTTCCGGGAACATGATGGGGACGACCTTCTGAGGGCCTCCAGTGGGCCTCTTGGGGGCCTCTCGGAGGCCTGTTGGGCTCTCCTGGAGGCGTCTTGGGGCGCGCTCAGGGCCATTGTTGGGCATCTTGGGGGCCTCTATATATGGGGAAGAATTTGAAATACGTGGAAGGAAGTGGCACGACTCGGGAGGGCTTGGTAGAGGGGTATATATGTGTATATATACATACAACTACACATATATATATATATATATATGTGAGGGGATCATTGTGGTATAATGTGCGTTCCCTCTCTTTCTCATGATCACACTCCGTCACTACCCTCATCCCGTCTTTTCTGCTATGCCTTATTCCTTTTGATTAAGACACATCCTCGTTAGCTTACTTTTCCTCAACCTCTCCTTGTATCGATCCTTTTCTCTTCCTTTTCGTCACGATTTCCTTACTTCTCCCCGCCCTCCCACATCCTCCTGATAATCCTCCTGCTCTTTCTCTTTCTCATTCGCCTCATGTTCGAACCACTTGTGGGTAACTCGTGACGTTGCATGTGTGCGTGCGCATTTGCACGCAGCTGTGAGATTGTCAAGGGCTGGAAGTTGCTAGAACCGAAGCGCGCGCGTGGTGCTAGTGAACACGAACATGAAAACGAAGATGATGATGCTGATGATGATGATGGTTACGATGATGATGATGAGGATGATGACGATGATGATGATAATGCTGGTGATGCTGGTGACGCGGGTGATCATGATGACGGCGACGACGATGATCAAGATGAAAATGATGATGATGATGATGATGGTGATGATGATGATGATGGTGAGTGGGCGCAAGCCGGTTGTGAACGCCGTCTTGGGCCGTTTCGTTGCAATTGTCCGCCAGGGGCTTTTCCGGACAATTGCCGCGCCCTCCCACATCCTCCTGATAATCCTCCTGCTCTTTCTCTTTCTCATCCTCGTCTTGCTCCTGCTACGCACCTTCATCGCCATCATCGTCAATCTCGTCATCATCGCAGCCAGCAAATCATCATCGCCATCATCATCGCCATGACTTTCGCCGTCGTTGTGGCGAGCGTCGTTGTGGCCTCCTCGCTTCCTCCTACTACGACGGCCCAGGCGTCGAGACTGTAGAACTCGCGCCGTGCATTTTTCCCCCGGAGTGGCGGGTGCGCAGCTCGGGGGAAAAATCAACAGATTATATGGCCACTGTCGTGGCGACATCTGGGATCACGCGCCTATGGAAATATGCCCTCGAGGCTCAAGGCTCAATGGAAGACATGGCCCCGATAATGACTCAGAGGAAGTGAGCATCGGGAGAGAGGAAGGGCACGGAATGGAAGCATTTAGCGCTGACGAAGAGAAGGCACATCGGCATCAGTCACCGCTGGCAAGTGCGCGCGGCGTGAGCCTGGCTAGAGGCCCTGCGCGACGCTGGCTTGCGCTTCAAAGTGAAGGCTGCCCTCTTGATCCTAGGCACTTTACGATCGCGCAGACTGTCCAAGAGCGCCCTTGCAGCGGGCTTCCTCTGAGCAGCACGCCGCCCAACAGGCGCGGTCTCGCGCGCCGCTGGCTTCCCCCGAACGCACGCGGCGCGTTCGGCAATCAGCCGCGCGACTCTCTGTCGGGCTTCGCGGAGCGGGAGCCGTGCAGGCGCCAGGACGTCGGCGCCGCACTGCGCCCGGAGCGCGCAGTAACTCTTCCAATCATCCCCGGGGAAAGCCCAGGCCATAATGCTTCGCGATAGCACGTTGGCCTGTCGCAGCTGCCGCAGCGTCGGCGAATACAGCGCGCAACTGTGGGCTTGCAGCTTCCCCAAAAATCCAATCCTAAGTTGAAGCTCCGCCGTCGAAGCGTAGATGTCCCCCTGGTTGCGAAACCACGTGTTGATCTCGTGGTTGAAGGATTCGTTGACGGACGTGCCAGACCCCAACAGGGCTAAGCGCGCCGCCGGCAAGGAATGCCTAAATCGCTGATTATTGAAGAACCATTGCATGCGAGCTGAGGCAGTCGCATTGTAAAGCAACCTCTTCAGTTGAACGTTATTCACGTGGGTGCGGCGAGCAAGCTCTTCTGGAACCAACGCGCTCAGCGCGGCGATTGCTTCGATAAACTCATGCGTTGTTTTCCATGGCAGCTCGGCGTTCACGTGGTCGATCACATGTTGTGCTCGCGACTTCGCGAGTGAATGATCGAGTATCTGTGCTCGCGCGCGCTCCTCTATTGGCCGCAGATTCGGGGCATTCGTGCCGTCGAACGGCGCCCCCCAGTAGCGCGCGGGCAGCGTGCAATCCACCTTCGTAAACTTGGCCATCAGTATCCGCAACAGTCGTGATCCCACTGTCTTTTTCCTCCAGTGCGTCTCCTCGTACGTGATGGGCAGATGGACCGGGTCGAGGCTCAAGATAGATAAATTTGGAAAACATGAGCATCGCAAGGCCCGGAATAGCGCGCTGCTCGGCTGATCACTGGCGATGGACACCGTCTGCGATCTGCACGCCGCCGACCAACGAGCTGCAAGGGCTCCAGCTATTTCGTCAGCTCCCTCGTCCTTCGCCAGGAAAACACCGAGCGCCGCGCCCGTCCTGCCCGCGAGTGTCAGGACGCGGCGCTTGGCGTCCACGTCCGGCACGGGTGCAGCGTCGCGCACTGCTTGTGCAGACCGATAGTCTGCCTGGCCCTTGACATTGCGCAGAATGCGGATAGTGGCGCCCATGGAGACGTGGAGGAATTCCTCATGCCGGTGGCATTCTTCCATCAACGCCGCGCTGCGCATTTCTACGTGCGCGCTGTTGAACACGTCTTCCATTAGCTTCAGCCAGTGATCAACGCGCGTCGGCAACATGCTGCTCAGCTCGGAGCCCTGCTCCACGACGCGAGCGCACGTCCGCAACATCGCAGGGCGAACGCGCCCATGGTGGCGCAAGGACTCCTGCAACAGAATATCCGCGAAGCCACGGGTATAGTACGTGTACCCCACTCGTCTGCACGCGAGATTATGTCCCACAGCTGCCTTGTTCTGATATGACGGCCCGTCTTCGTCGAGGACCAGGACAATGCCCTTGTCAATGGCGTTCTGTCCGCGATGAACAGCAGGAGATACTGTCTCGCGGAGGATCGTCGCAGACCGCTTCAGCAGGTTCCCTGCTGGAGTACGCAGAAGTCGGTCGTTGTCGAACAACGCGCGCACGACATTGAACTGCTTCGTGCCAGAGGCCACGAATCGCATCTTTTTGAGGTGGTACTTGGAGACGTGCGTGGCCAGCAACGCCTGCGTCGAGGACGACCGGAACGGGCATAGACCGCACGCAAACTTCAACTTCACGCCCTCGCTGTCCCGCTTGGGGCGCAGGAGCGTCACCCCCGCAGCGTAACTCTTGACTTCCTTCTCCAGGCACTCGAACAACTCTGTCCGCACTGCTGTCTCGCCCTCATCGCCGCTCGGAGATTCGGGTGCATCCGCCGAGCCCACGTCCGCGAGCTCGTGGGGCTCGCGCTGCTCGGCCGCGAGGCACGCCCAGCCCTCGCCGACGTCGTCCGCCGTTCTCTTGCCTCTGATCCGTTTTCTAGCCGGCGCCGGCGCGAGCCTGGCACCGTCCTGCTCCTGGCGAGCGGGTGCGCCGCGCATGTGAGATAGCGCGGAGAGGTGGCAGGGAAAACAACACAGGGCGGCAAGGCCGACCCACGGGTGAGATGGCAGAGAAAACACAGGGCGGCAAAGCCGACCCACGGGGAAAGCATGTCTTGAGCCGTAGGGTGATGAAGAGATCAGCAACGATCCATCAGTGGAGCTGCCGTCGAGTATGTAAGAGCTAGGCAATGGGGGATATCGAGCGACATGAAGGCCCCGCGCCACGTTGAGCACGTGGGAAGGCGAGGAGAAAATATTGAGATGATTGAGAAGTCGCGATTTTGTCTGCGCAAAGGTTCGATCGGAAGTCACTGCCCGCTCTTGACGGAGGGCCGCGCAATGGCGTCAGCGCCGCCGCATCCCCCCGAGTCCAGTCGCGGGCGCGAGTCGGCCGACGTCCCTGCTTGCTCTTCGGCCGCGCGTCGCCTGTGCAGTCTGAGCATATCAGCGGTGAAATCTATGTTCAGGGTGTCTTCCCAGGCGACGCAGACTCCGCTGCACCGCGCGCATGCGAAGACGTCGCCGCGAGGTTCCAATCGCTGCGCCAACACGGCCCACGTGGAGGTCGTTGCGCGCAAATGTGTCAATTCGGGGAAAGGAAATGATCTCACCGTGGCCACGCACCCTTCCAGATAGTGGCCGATGCCGTCGACGTCGCCGTCGTCCATCCCGCAAAGGAAACAGCGATCGTGAACAGGGCTGGGGGCTGTCACCGAGGCAAGGTCTGCGTTGGCAGGCTGGAACCAGCAAGGCACAACAGCGAGGACTCCGGGCAGTCCGGCACCGTGCGGGCCACGCGAGGCCCTGGGCCCGCTCGAACTGAAAGGTTTCACGAGAATGAACGTTTTGTCTTGGCGAATCTGTTGATCCAGTGCGAAACAACGCGCTAATGTCCGCCTCCGCAAGGAAGGGAAGCATGACATAATATAACCGAATGCTTCATTTGAGATCTTCGATACCATCAGCGCGAAAGCCTCGATGTCAGCGGCGTCGTCTCTTTCCGGAGACGATGGAGGTGTTCGCGCAGCAGCCTTGCGCGCAGCCCGCGAGGACAGTCGAAGTTTCCTGCGCGCCGGCGTCAGCGAGCGGGCGCCAGAGTATGCGCGCCGCTGGCGAGCCCTCCCGCGCGGCGTCGGGTCGCCCACCTCAGGGGACTGCGAGCTCAGAAATGGAGAACTGGCGGCGCGCTGGTCGTCGGCGTCGGTGGCCATGGCGCCGAGGTACGACATAGAGATCACAGGACAGCAATGCTGATCCACAATCAGGGAAAGAGCGGGGAAGTCAAAGCAGGCCGACAATGCCGAGCCACGTTTGCTAAAATCCTGAGCCGATGAAGCGAACGCCCGTGCTGATTTTTCCCCCGCGCATCGCCGAAACGCGAGCTGAGGGAAAATCATATTCTATGCTACTCCCGAGCGGACTCTGCGCGCGTCGCCTGTTGGGTAGCGCAACTTGCGTTCGCATTTACTCTTTGCAATGATGGCGCGGGATATATGATGTCTCTGGGTACCCCTCTCCGCTTTGGCTGTTGTTAGTGTACATAATAATATTTATTTTTGTTGGCAAGGCAAGCGTCGCATCCACGCGCTCCTTCATGCGAGGGCATCACTACTTCCGCGGAAGTTGAGAGCACGCGGCTGTCAGCGTGGCTCCCGCAGAGCCCATGCGCGCGATTTTCATCTGTTGCCAGTTGGCATTCGGCAATTGCAACGGCACCTCAAGAGGGCGGCGCACAATCGCAACGGCAACGCCAGTGCGCGACGTCCACTGACATCTGGCGAAAGGCGCGATCGAAATTGGCCGCGGTGCTCAGGCAATAAGGCATGCGCGCCGCCACGACTGGCCGCGGCCAGCCGCCCAGAGGGTCTATCTCGCGGGCGTCTTCCGACGCCATTGCCCGCAACTCTCGGGACCTCGTGCGTTGAATGGCCATGAGCTCCTCGATCTCTCGGATCACCGGTACGTCGTCCACAAATGGCTGGTCGCCGTTGTCCGGGTGAAGGCAGACCACATACATCGCGGCCACGCGGGCGCCGTAGTAACGTTCCAACATCCACCTGTACATGTTAAGCTGAACCCGGTAATGATTTCCCTGGCAGTCTGGCAACCGGCCCAGTGGAAACTTCATATTCTCCCATGGGTTCGTGAACTTCGAACGTAAATTCTTCGCCCGCTTCCAATCGTATATGTACAGACTGCCCGCGGAGTCTCGAGCCACGAAGTCGATTGACCCAGCAAGCCCCTCGTGCTCCGCGAAGATGGCCCACTCGGCGCGGAAAGCCGCCAGACCTTTCAGCGCGCCCAAGAATTTCAAGAACAACTGGAACTCGACGGCATCGTGGGGCACCGGAACGCGGTTGAGGTGGGCCTCGAACGTCCAGTGCATCCAGGTGCCCCGCCTAGCCGCCTCTTCTTTGTTCACGCGCCATTTCTCCACGATCTGCTGATCCGAGAGAGATAGACTCTCCAGTTGGTTTGCCAAGTGGGGGGCCGCTCTCGCAGTTGCCTTCATCTCGTCGCAGATCTCGGCGTCGCATGCCCCGTGCGACACAAGTAACTCGTGCAAGCGAGCAGCCTCCGGCGTGGCCCGCAGCTTTGCGACCACGTCTTCCGGGCGAGGTTGGCGCAAATAATCAGGTCGCGGCCAGTTCCGCCCGCTCCGCATCTTCCCAATCACAGCACCAGCGTCGAAAACACTGCAGTACTCATGTATAAATCCCGTGACTGAGCCATGCGTTCGCGCGCCGCGAATGTAATAGGAGTGCGACTCTTCGACGAAGTGCAACTGGGAGTCCCGAGGGTGAGCGTTGAGTCGCTCGAGCAGGCGGATCTTCGGAAGACGCGGCAGCTCGAGGGAGAAATCGCATGGGACTTGGGGCACCTGAGTGCCGGGGCACCCCGCCGGCGGCAACGGGCAGAACAGACGCGAAGCTCTGCGCCGCATTGCCTCCTCTCGGTTCGCTGATACCCGGGCAGCCTCCTGCGGCGCGAGCGAGCCCGACGACGACGCCAGCCCATAGGGGGTCGCTCGTTCGCGAGCCGCGCGCCGACGGATGAGTGCGTCCAGCCTATGTGCCTCGATAATTCCAGAAGTCGCGCCCCATGGAAGAGGGCGGCCGCCCTCGGGCCCCAGCCTCCGAGCGCCGAGCTCCACCAATAAGAACCACTTGTGTTCCTCGACATCCGGAATGTCGCCCCACGCCAACCACTCGCGAACCGCTGGCAGACCTGCTCGGCGGTCTATCACAGTGGCGCTGCCGGGCCGCAGGATGACGGCCGCGAAGTGGCCGACGCTCGTGGCCAATCCAGCTTCGCGCCGCGGCGGCTCCCACTTGACGTAACGCCCTGGACCAGTCGGACCCCGCGGCTGCCGGATCAGGGCGAAGCCGAGATGTGACAGCCATTGGTTCCCATGCTCGAGCGCACGGAATGAGCCTCGCACGCTGGTCGGCACTTGTGCTCCCAATGCGTTCAGAGCCAAGCTGAGACACGCATGGGCGGCAGCAACGTGCTGGTCGTCGGCGGCCATGACACGAAATGCGACGGAGAGGTTACAGGACAGCAACGCTGATCCACAATCAGGGAAGAAGCGGAGAAATCAAAACAGGCCGGCAATGCCGAGCCACGTTTGCTAGAATCCCGAGCCGATGAAGCGAGCGGCCATCGACAAATCGCGACGGCGAGTGCAAGGTGAGGTAATTACGAGAGAATATATGTGATATCGTATTCTGTCGCATGATGTTCTTATGTAGCCCTACTTGCCCTACTCCTTGTCAACACTACCCCTCTCTGGATATGATACATTTTTCCCCCGGGGCGGCGCGAGCGCATCTCGGGGGAAAGCTGCCGGCCGCGGTCTTCAGGATTCCGCCCAGCTGTTAAGTCGACGCCGAGTGCGCCCTCTCCGCTGTAAGTGATGTGCAACAGCGCGCCCTCGACTTCCTCGACGCGGCGCACCCACTGTGCCGTCGGCAGAACGTGCCTGCTGAAACCTCTCCACACGACTACCGAATCTGTCCCTGAAAGGACTGCCGCAGCGCAGCAATGCCTCCGCATATGACAGAAATACTTTCCGGGCACGAGTGAGCCTGCACCCTGCCGCGAAGCCTGCTGGCGCACGACGGCCAGAGAGAAGCCGAAGTGGTCGGCGACGTCGGCGCAGCGGCGCTCCGCGCCTCGACGAACGGGAAATCGCGCACAATAGTCGGTCGAGCCGCAGAAGTCTTGCGTCAGGATGCTGTATGCAAGCAGTATGCAGTTTCCATCTTGCAGGAGAGCTCGACAGCCGCGCACGGCGGGCGGCGAGGGCTCTACCCAGACGCCGAGCTCTTCGGCCGCTGCCAATTCCGTCGCACCAATTGGCACTTCGTCAAGCAGTTGTGACATCTCCCTGCGCCAGGCAACAACTTTGGCCTCCCACTGCCGCTTGCTGACGTCAGGCAGGTAGGGGTCTGGTGTCGCGGGCCTCTCGTCATCTACCAGCTCGCCAGTGCTGCTCAGGAGCTGGATTGACACGTACTCGATGGACCGCTTGACACCGGAGACACATCGGATTCGCCTTCCGCGCGGGTCGGCGTCTTCGACAACCGCGAGAGCATCGCACATGCCAGGAAGCACGCGGCGAGGCGATGAGGTGCCAGGGCGGCAAGGCCGACCCACGGAGAAATACTGGTAAATGCAAAGCGAAGAGAGCACAGGGCGGCAAAGCCGACCCACGTACAAGATATGCCTTGAGCCGACGCGGCGAGTGGCGTCTCAGAAAGCGCGCAGATACCTCTGCAAAGACAAACCTGCTCATAATATCACTGTAAATCAGGTTGTCCAAATCTATTCAGATCCATATGAATTCATATCTGGCACGGTGATGGATGTATATGAACAGCGATGAACTTTGTATTCCCCCACTGCGCGAAAGCTTACCAGCTTGTAGTGCAGTCGGCGAAGCAAAGAGCAATGCAAGCGAAGAGCGGTGAAACAGACTCCGTTGCCGCAGGCCTCACGCCATCATATTCAAGAGCTCTGCTAAGGGCCTGGCGTCGCCGCTGTCTTCAGCGGCTGCCTGCGGCGCAGGGGACAAATCAATGTGAAACGTGACTGCTAGCCTCGAATCTCGCCCGACGAGGACGGCATCACGGAGCTCTTCCAGATTCATCTCACCGGCTTTGTCACGGAAATAAACCGTCGCCTTGTCGAGCTCAGCCCCCACGTGGACTAGTGCGCATGATGGCGAACCATGCCCGTCCATGTGGAGCAGATAAAATCCCTGCTCGCAGGCGCCGAAGCCCAGCTGCGGCGTCATTGACACGCCGTGGCTCAGGCAACACTCCGCGTGCGTTCTCCCCTTCTCCACGCCGGCGGCATTGTTCTCCACGGACGTGGCACCAACGCTAGAGACAACGGACGCGGAGACCCTGGCGTCGCCGCATCGCCACAGCGCCAGCAGAATACAATTGCCGGGCTTCAGTAGGTCTCTGGGCGCCGCATCCACCGACCGCCACGCCCCGCAGCTCGTCAGTGTCTCCGCGATCGTCGGGTGGGTCTTCTCTTTGATTTTGACTATGAAGCCTGTTTCCTTCGCGATGTGGGCACTCGCGTCAGCGGCGTATTCCGCCACGGTGGCATGCCTTGCGAGCACCGCGTCTCTGCTGATCCTGATGCCGTCGAAATGCAATGACAAATGCTTGACCGGCTGCGTGAGCACCCACGTATGCCACTCGCGGAGGATGTAGTCCTCCGCGCGCTGGTAGAAAGTCGAGAACGTTTGCCCCTCTGGCCATTTCTCCGTCTTCTCGCCGTCGCCCAGCGCGGCGTCTCGGCAGATGCTGTCGTAAACCTCGGGCAACGCCGAGCATGCCAGCCAGCGCAGTACGCGGCTCACGCGCTGCAACTTCTTGGCGAAGGGCTCGGCATCGACATCGAAAGAGCGGGACCCGCCGATGGTCTCGAGTACGAAGCGCTTGGCCGCCTGGGGCCCCATGTCGGGCAACTCGCACCGCAGTGCCTCGTCCCTGTCCTCGGCCAGCCGCTTCAACAACTCCAACTCCTCCTTGAACAGGTCCTTATCATTATCGGCCATGCCAAGTTGTTCCACGAGTTGCCAAGCGATGGTCAGAACGGCGCTGTGGATGTCGAGATCTACGGTGCCTTGCAGCATCGCATGTAGCACGCGCGCCGGGCACCCCTGCGCCGCCGGACCCTCCGCGAAGCGACGGGCCGCAGTGCGTTTGTATGTGTAGGGGATGCTGCGCTCCGCCATTTCGATGCCACCGCTGGCGCTCTTCTTCACAGCGATTTTCCTCCTCTTCTCCGCTGGTGCGTCGGCGGGGACCACGGTCGGCTTCTCGCGCGCGCCCTCGATCAACTCTTCCAGAGCGTGCTCTGCTGCCTTAATGGACGCGCCGACCGCGCGCAAATGGGCGTTGTCGCCCACCTCGGGCTCCGTCCCGCGCTTCTTCCGCCCGCGCGGCTTCGGGGCGGCCGCTAAAACACTAATCATAATGTCGACGTTGTGCTTGCGACAAGCGTTGCCATTCGCGTAGCGGCTCAGCGCCGCACGGTCCCACTGCTCCGGGAGCACGGTCGGGACCTCCACGTTCGGCTCCGGCACAATATCACTATACTTGCGAGCGGTCAACAATTTCGGTAGAACCCTCTCCTTTGCTTTGCCATACAGACCAGCTTTATACCATCCGCTGGACTCCATCGCCTTCCACACCGTGGGTTTCTTCTCCGGCAAGCCCTGAATCTGCCCTGTATGAATCTGCTTGAAATATGAAAATGTCAAGGCGTCGAAACTCCGCTCGAGCATCTGGCCGAGGAGGCGGCAGCGCATCTGCGCCATGGGCGCCACCGCCTCCTGCGAGGCGCCCGCCCCGACCTCGAAGTCGACGCCGGGCGGCGGGGCAGCCGCGCCGCTCTGGCCGCTCGGCTTCGGCTTGCTCGGCTCTGGGAGAAGACACGCCTGTCGCATGTATCTCTCCGTGATTCCGTTATCCCCTCCGCGCAGGCAGTAGTCATCTATCTCCGACCTCGCTGCCGCTTCGCCATGTTTCCGCTCGAACCCCAGCTGTCGTTGCAGACCAGCGGCGATGGCGGGCCCCGACTGCATGAACGGCTTCAGATCCGGCGCCCGCGGGAAGATGCCGTACTTCTCTGCGTCTGGCAGAACGCGCCTCATGTACTCCGCATCAACAAACCTCGCGAAAATCTTGATCAGAAGAGACCTCCGGTAGATGGCGTGGAATGCACCCTCAGTGACTCCGTCGAAAGTGATGAGCTTATTTAGCTCCATGCGTTTCCACCCGACCAGATATATAACCTTCGTCAAGATCTGATGCGGGAGCCGACCAAAGATGCCGTCGGCAGACGCCAGCGTCTTGAACAAGTCCTCCCGGAAGTTCTTCCTCAAGCCTTCTGGCTTCTCCTGTGCCGTGAGCACGATCGTGCCTTTGAGCGACTCCACCGTCTTCCGCATCTCCTCGTCCAGATAGAACACCTGCGGGTCGAAATACTTGTGGTTGGAGTGTCCGAGCATGGCGTCGAGATGTGCTGTCGTCAGGGAAAGCCCGACGCCGCCGGCCCCCCAGAAGAAGAACAGCTGGTCGACGTTCAACCCTCTCTTCGCCAGGGCGAGGGCGGCCATGCACACTTTGTGCGCGGCGGCGTTTGCCCAGAATGTCTGCCTGTAGAACTGGCCCACCCTCGTCGCGGCCGCCTTCAACACTGGGTCGCCCAAATACGCTTTGATTTTGTGCGGTATGCCGATGTATATGCTCTTGCGTTCGCTCTCCGTCGCGATCTTCTGCACCGGGGTTCCGCCCTGGTCGTAGACGAACGCGATGTCGGGGTGGGCGACGCCCCTGCTCGAGGGGCGCGGAGTCTCGCACCACTCGCAGTAAAATGACGGCAACTTGTTCTGAATCATCTGGATCTGTAAGCTTCGTCCAACTCGAGAAACGCTCACTGCGATCGTTATATACCACGGCGCGCTGCGCGCGACGCTGTCGTCCGCCGGCGCGGGCGCATCGCCGTCCGGCCCTGGCGGCTCCATCTGCGTAAGACATTCGAGTTCGACTGCAGAATCTGCCGCGCCTCCCATGCCGCCGCCCTGGCCCTTGCCACCGCCTTTGCCTCCTTTGTTGAAGATGGCGTTATCGCGCCACGCGGCGAATGCCTTCGGAGCCTCGGGCCCGCTCCTGTCCAACGACCCCTCGATGGCGACCAGCACGGACTCGTCGTCCCGCCGGACCTCGCCGGTGAAAGACCGGAAAAGCCCTTCTAATGTTAAGAGGTACTCTTTCAGAGCAGCATACATAATCTCTGGCATGAGACCTTCGTACTTCTCGAAGAACCTTATATTCCCGTTCCAGAAGTACATAACCCCGTCGTGGGCGACCAGATAATCACCGCCAAGTATGATGTGCATCATCATGACGTACTCTCGAACGCAAATATCGGATAGCCGACACCGGTACATGGCCAGCGCCCCAAGGGCAATCCGCTTCAGGTACGGATCCCATGAGACGTGATTCTTCTCTATGAGTGCCTTCACCGCCTCCGTCTGCACGAGTATGCTCTGCGCAGGCGGGTCAGGGTCTGCCTCTAAACCTTCCAGCCAGCTCCGCTCGCTGTCTACGTCCATCGGGAATGCGTCGAATTCTGCATTGCATGTAGCAGCGCCTGGAAGCTTCAATCGTCGCTGCATGGAGCTGTTGTCGGCGACCGGATCGGCGGGCGCATCCTCGGGCTCGCTCTGGTGCTCGGCGACCCCTGGAACTCGCGGAACCCAACTCTGCAGGCACGACCAATGATCGACCTCGTGCCCATCCTCAGAGGACTGCTGGTGAAGCCGAAAAAGCGCTACCAACGGGCCGTCGCCGTAAACGCTCTGAACAGAGTGCTTCGTGTCCTCGTAGTGATCGACAACGATCTGGCCGCCCAAGACCTCACAGAAATATTTCATTTCGTCGAAGCCAGGGTTAGCCTCTCGTCCGGTCTTCAGCAGTCTGGTAGCAGTGGCTTCATCTCCTGCGTCGCGCGCCATCTGCGCGACGCGATCCCGGAGCTGCTTGGCGTCCGCCTCGCCCGCGCGAGCTCTACGCCTATTCTCTGCGTAACCAGACGCCCGTCTGCCGCGCAACCACGCATGCAAATCCGCGGCAGCATTGCAACAGTGATACAGACACAGCGTGTCGGCAGGTACCACCCCGACGGTATCGACTGGAACAAGCGGCAGGGCAGCGGGAGGGTTCGTTGAAGTGGTGATCACACGCGTGCACATATCTTCGCCAGGCCCTTCAGGCGGTCCGCCGCGCTGGATTGGCGAAGGCGGAACAATCGCCCGCTGTATGGAATCGCCCAAATTAGCCGAATATTGGCTCATAGGCTGGGCGGCAGCAGCGCCCTGTTCGTCGGTAGACATGACAGCGAAATGCAACAGAGAGATCACAGGACAGCAATGCTGATCCACGATGAGGAAGAGAGCAGAGAAGTCAAAACAGGCCGGCAATGCCGAGCCACGTTTGCTGAAATCTTGAGCCGAGGAAGCGAGCGACAATCGACGCATCGCAATGGCGATTGTCATTTGGTTTTGGAAAGGGCCGCGGCTTCCGGAGACGCCAGGAGGTCCCAGCATGGGGTCAAGACCAAGAGGGCTCTACAGAGGCCCCAAGAGAAAGTCCCAAGAGAGCCGCATGAGGGCCTCATGAGTTCCAGGGAGCCGCAAGATGATGATGATGATGATGATGATGATGGTGAGCGGGCGCCCGCCGGTTGTGAACGCCATCTTGGACCGTTTTGTTGCAATTGTCCGACAGGGGGCTTTCTGGACAATTACTGCGACAGAGCAGGAACAGACTGATCAGAAGGGCGAGGAGGGAGAGGACGAGGAATCTGAAGATGAATATGAACTTGAATATGAATGGGAAGAGGCAGATGACGATGATGATGATGATGCTGGTGATGCTGGTGATGCCGGTGACGATAATGATGACGGCGACGATGATGATGATGCCGATGATGATGGCGAGCGGGCGCCCGCCGATGGTGAACGCTATATTGGACCGTTTTGTTGCAATTGTCCGCCAAGGGCTTTTCCGGACAATTGCTGCGACAGAACAGAAACAAACTGATCATAAGGACGAGGAGGGAGAGGACGATGAATATGAACATGAATCTAACTTTGCATATGAATATGAAGACGAAGATGATGAAGATGATGATGAGGATGATGGTGATGACGATGGTGATTATGATAATGATGGTGATGCTGGTGCTGTTGATTGTGATGACGACGACGATGATGATGATGATGATGGTGAGCGGGCGCCCGCCGCTTGTGAACGCCATCTTAGACCGTTTGGCAGCAATTGTCCGCCAGAGGGCTTTCCGGACAATTGCTGCGACAGAACAGAAACAAACTGATCGGGAGGACGAGGGAGAGAGGACGAGGAATATGAGGAACATTCTAAACTTGAGTATGAAAATGAAAACGAACACGACGATGATGATGATGATGGGGATGATGATGATGATGCTGGTGATGCGGGTGATGATGATTGATGGCGACGATGATGATGATGATGCTGACGATGATGATGGTGATGATGGTGAATGGGCGCCCGCCGATTGTGAACGCCGTCTTGGGCCGTTTTGCTGCAATTGTCCGCCAGGTGGCTTTCCGGACAATTGCTGCGGCAGAACAGAAACAAACTGATCACGACTAGGCCTGGGATGGCTTTCATTGCATGAATATGGCTTTCATTGTATGTGATCTTCCTCGTGTACGATGGTCCTTGTATAATATACTTCCTCTATGCGAACTTCTTGTATGTGATCCTCCTTGTCTATGGCAATCTTTGTATATGATGTCTCTTGTAAATGTCATTCCTTGTGCATGATATTCTTTGAATATGGCCTTCATTGTATATGATCTTCCTCGTATACGATGGTAACCCTGGATATGCGGCATGCCTGTTATCTGACAGCGCCGCCACCGGGCAACCATGTTATCTAGCAAACAAGGGTTTCCTGGGGCGCCGCACCTTTTAAGAACGCAGCTCCATCGGGCAACTATGTTATCTCGCAAACAAGGGTTTCCTGGGGCGCAGCACCTTTTAAGAACGCAGCTATGCAGGTTCGGCAACTTCTACGACCCGTGCAACCAGTGAGGAGGTTACGGAGAACTCACCGGGTGAACAGGGCAGCCTAGCCGTTTTCGGCTGGCTGGATCACCCTTGTGACCAAGTGATATCTTCAAAGAGGGCCTGCAATCAGAGGCAGTCTAACCACAGTGGGTTGACTGGGTTGCCCTCGTGGTCACATTGGCTGGGCTGCTGGAGGCACAACGGGCATAGGCAGAGCTGCTGATTCGCAAGACTGAACAGGCAGAGGAGACGAGAGAAACCGTCATGGAAAATCAATGAGCGACTCACCGCGTCGCATTCTGAGCGCGCCTTAAAAGTGGAGTTCTGTTTGTAGATTAGGCAACGTCTGCATCGGCACATCATACTGATGCGCACAAAGACTGTTCCACCATGACATGTATACAAACTCTGTGCTGTGTGCCAGACAGACCGCATACAAACCATTTCAATTACAGAGTTTGACATATTCAATGAACGCCACATACAAGACAAGCCATACACGAGATATGCCAAATACAAACTATGCCGAATCCGTTGAGCCCAGCGCTCTACCCGAGAAGGCGAGCGAGCTGCTGCTGCAGCTCGCTCACCGCCCGCTCGAGGGCGACGACGCGCTCGCTCAAGTTCTGCGTAGTCTCCTCCTGCGTCGTCTCCTCCTCCGCTGGCGACGGCGCGGAGCTAGCCGCGGCCGCGGGAGCCTCTTCCTCGGGCGCCGTCACGTTCATCGGGTTCTCAAGCGCAAGCGCCGCTGTGCCCACCCCCGCCGCGCCGCCTGGAACAGGCTGCGCCCGCGCCCCCCAGGCCGCGTCCCCAGGCTGCGGCGGTGGCGCCCTGACCCGCACGGAAAAATGAGCCGGGTTGTGGATCCACGGGGCGCAGTGGCCGTTCCTCAAGACAGCAAAAACCATAATGCCAACGTAAGTTGTACTTTTCAATGCAGAGGGGGTCGTGACCTTCGAAAATGCACGAGGAAGCTTTGATAATTGCTCGGGGGCATTAGAAAACTCGCTGAGATCACCGCGCTCATTTCCATCTTAAACTCAAACCGAGCCCCACCGAGGACACCTCATCTGAGTTTTGATAGTCCGTTTTACACCAAGCTTACTTGGCGGTGTCGAGGCGATACCCCTTGATAATAAAAGACAGAGAGCGAGAGACAGAAAGACATAATACAGAATATATAGAAACTGTTAAGCTATAAATCGAAACAAGTGGCAACATAAATTATACAAATATGCAAGGTTACATGTAAACAATATGGTAATCATGCTACTTGGGATTCCGTTGCCCGTCAAGCCTGCTATATTGCAAATCTGTTTTGTCAAACGTTTTATCTGGCAGATCTGTCGTCAGGTAAAGCCGCCATCTGGCCAATCTACTATCTGGCACAATTTCATATCTGGCCAACCTGCAGACAAGTTATTGTTCGATTATATTATAGCAGTGTACAAGTGCGGGTTCACATGATGCGCTCTTGTCGTTCCCTGGCTCCTGGGATCGCCATAATACGAGTGGCGGTCTCCGAGGATGTGATCGTCGTTCACCTTGTTGTGCACGTACGGGCGCCTGTTGGCGTAGCACAACAGGCAGCGCCAACCTCCCTCAGGATCAGCTTCGAGCCACCAAACCTGATCTGAGGATACCAAGCTCTGCGGGTCGCAATCGTCGTGGGAAATAAATAGGTCCCCCGAACAAAGCCACTCGAGACTCCCTTTGAATGTCGCATGAGCGCAAAGCTCACCAACCCCTACCCTCCTACGAGCCTCGTCAGAAACATCCAGAACATAAAAAAAGAGAGGTATTCTCCGACCGTGATACGTTCGGGCACTTGTCGGAAAAAGCGCGTTCTTGAATGTCGAGAGGGAGATGTCTGATTTTGGGCATTCCCGCGTCCGAGAGATCTTCGAGATGTTCGAAAAAAAGCACCGATATCTTTGAATACAACGTTTTGTTTATTTCTGGCGATCGCAAGTTCCGCCGTTAGTGGCCTGCCCCGACCAGGCCAGAAACACTGGGGACCCCCGGAACGAGGGAGTTTCGAAACCTGCGGGGGCTCGCGGATCCTCGGTCTGAAAGCACTATCAAAAACCTTGCTCCTCTGCGATAGTTTGCAATCCGGGGCGCTGGCGCGCGAGTCGCCGCGTCCAGATAGAGCGGGATGGGCGCCGCCATGTCGCGGGGGGCGGAGCGGCGGGCGGCGGCGGGGCGCGGCGAGCAGCGACAGATCGATGAGGAGATCGCAGCGACAACAGACACCGACGAATGGCACAAACGTTGACAAACTGCAGATGACATTGCAGAAATCTGTTATCAGTTACCGAGCAAATCCATTAGCTGACCAACATCCCGCAGAACAGGTCACATGCGACCACATACGAGATGAGATGTCACGCGTATCACATGTGTCGACGATGAACAAAACTCTCTCGCACATCACCTACTGGAACGAAACCCTGCCATATGTATCATGTGATATGTTCTGTAAGTCGGGTTTTGAACTAGAACAGCCGTGCTCTACAACAGCGGCGGTGGCTGGGGAGGCAGAGACGACGCCAAGAAGAACCAAGATGGCATCAGGGCGCCCCAATTGGCCTCAAAAGCCCAAGACAGCCTCCTCGCAAATTACCTCCCGGTGCGATGACTTAAGCATCGAGTCAATGGATGTCGCGCCATGTATTTTCCCCCGGACGAGCGCGAACGCAGTCCGAGGAAAAAACATTAACTATCACGCCATTGTCCCGACGACGTCTACGATCACGCGCCCGAGGACAGCGATGGAAGCTGGTTCGCCGCGGCGTCGCGAACCGACGGGTGCAATGAACGACGGATGATTGCAACGAGGGCAGCACTGCACCAGGCGCGCCACGTGCAGACTATGGCATATACAATCGGCACCACAAACCAGATAGGTCATATGCGACCCGACGCGAGAGCGCGCGCGGCGGGCGCGGGCTTTGCCGCGCTGCTCAATCCACGCAAAGCGGGCAAGGGAGCTGGGGGTCGTACGCATCCCAGGTCTCAGTGCCGCCGCACACAGAACACACATCGCAGAGCGGACACGGCAAGGATGCCATGTTCCCCGTGGCAGCGCGATACTCCACCATCTTGCCAGTGCCGTCGCAAAGAATACACTGAAACAAATCGTCGAGATCGGCGTGCACCGCCGTCGCCGCCGCGGAGGGCGAGGCCAGCGGCAGAACCGCGTCGCGACTCAGGCCTGGGCGCTGCCGGAGCAGATTGACCATCGAGTTCACGCAGTAGACCACGTTTGCCCGCTCCTCGGCAGCCGCGGCTGAATCCTCCTCTGATTGGGAGCGAGGTCGCACGTGGACCGCGGCGTCGTCGAGGAAGGTCCCCGCCAAGAAGTGCGTCGTCGCGAGGACGCAGTTCGCGATGTGCAGCGGCATCTTCTTGAACAGCGTCGGCCACGTGTTCGGCGGCTGAAGGGCATCTGGGTTGCCGACGTGCTGGTACATGACGACGTCCCGAGTCTCGGCGCTACCCCTCGCAAGCGCAACTGCGAGCGCCGTCCGCGCCTCCCGGCACTGCTCCCTTGCATCGCCTCCGAGGCGGAGGCGCTTGTACGGGAGGAGCCTGGCGTAGATGGGGCGCCCCTCAGAGAATGTGTCCGGGAACAGCCGGATGGACTGCAGCGCCGCCGCGCGACCAGCCGCGGCGACGCGCGCCGCTACCTCCGGAGTTGGACGGGACGCATCAGGGCGGGGCGAAGCGTCCAAGAAGTGCGCGGTGACGGTGGCCAGGCCGTTGTTCACGCGCACTCCGATCGGCCTCAGTAACTAGGGCAGAGACATCTGGAGAACCTCGCGGTCGGGTGCTAAGCCATAAATGTCAGAGTCGCTGACCCAGATCGCGCCGTCGGTCGGGTTCGGCGTCGGCGACTGCGTGACATCGGACAGGGCCCCGCCGTCGTCGAAGAGGTTTGCGCTCCCGAGCTGGATCGCCTGCGCGAGCGTCAGCGAGGGGGGGCGCGCGAAACTCGCGGGCCACGGGTCCGCCATCCGCAAGTCGGCCACGACCTTCGGCAACGGCCAGAGGAAAGCCCTGACGGCGTCGAACAAACGGTTGGCGCATTCCAGTTCGCACCTCCCGTCGATCCACAGCGGATCGACTGGCCGCGTCGGGCCGCCCGACTTGCACGGGGACTCCCAGACTTCGAGCGCGGGATCGCGCTGGCTCGCGCTGAAGTGCGCCTTCCAGTGCGGCGCCGCGCGGCCATCCTCCAAGCACTCTACGCACTCGTGGGAGGACGCGAACAGGATGCCTCGAGTGAAGCCCACGTTCCTGCGCATCGCGTCCCGCGTGTTGCCCTGAACATCGAACGCGCCCAAATTCCGGGGGAAGACCGTGGTTTGCTGAAGGAGCGCGTCAGCTCCTGATGCAGCCTCCGGCGTCGGAACACTCCACAAGTGAGGGGCGTCGCAGGCCTCCGCGGGCATGCCGAAAGACTCCATGAGCGCCGCGTTCTCAAGGGCGCCCCGCACGACGACGTCGAAGTTCACCCTGACGTCGTTGGCCCACACCATGGTCAGAATCGCCTTCGTGTCATGTGCAATAGTTGCCGAGCGAGTGCCGCCCGGCGCGAGAATGCGGCCCAGTGCGATCGCGCGCAGGAACAGCAAGCCCTCGAACAGCATCTGCTCGAATACAGGCTTGCAGGCACCCGCCCGCGGAGCCTCCTCCGCGCCGCCGCCGCGGTCGGGCGCTCTCCGGCGCGCGCCCAAGCCGATGGCCTCGGCGTTCGCGGCGAGGACGCCGCGGGTCACAGCGGGAAACCATCGCGTGTCTGAGTAGCGCACGAACCTCACGGCAGTCTGAGGCACATCTGCGAGATTCGCGTACCGCTCGCGATCATCGTGGTCCAGCGCGCACTTGAGAGGGTGCTCCTTACGACCATACTCCTTGGAGGTGTCCCGCATGAACTTGCACTGCAGGGGCCCGAACCTCCAGGTAATTGACAGAGTAAAGATGTGGGAATTTGGGGCGTAGTCCCAGAGGCGCAGCGGGCAGGGCCCATGGCATGCCTGGTTCCAAGCGTAATATTGCCCGAAACTCAGAGGCGAATCCTCCCTTAGAAACTCTGTCGGCCTCAAATGTTCGATGTCCTGGGCTCTGTCGAACATGAACATGGCAGTGCCGAGCCGATGCGCGACCGGCAGCAAGTGGGCGAAATGCGAAATCCATATGGTGGCCCTCGTCCACGACACCCAACCTGAACTCGAACTTCCGGAAGATCGGGGACAGCCAACTCCTGCCGCAGCAGATCTGCAGGAAGCAGTCGACCGTCATGACGAATATGCTGACTCCTGCGAAGATAGTTCCTCTGGCCTCCTCCACGAGATTGCGGTACTGAAATGTCAGAGTCAGCATCTCTTCGCTCTGGAGTTTCCATTCCCTGCCCTCGGGGGCGGCGAGATCGAGGTTTTCCTGCGCAGTTTGCAACTGCGCTCGCAGGTCGTCGATGCGGCTCTTGATGCTCTCCGTGCGATCGTCCAGCGCGCGGAGCAACGCCGGGTCGAGATAGCCCTCGTCCGCTGCCGAATCATCGCCGGCCGGGCGGCCGATCGCCGCGGCCTCGAACGGGTCGTCGAGCGCGCTGCGGAGCAAGCTCAGCATCTCGTCTCGCTGCGTCCGCTGCTGCAGTAGTACCGCGCCCTTCACCTTCTCGTCGAAGAGGCCGCGGGCGCCGAGGAGCGCCGCAACGGCGGTGAGCGACTTGCCTGTGCCCGGGTACGCCTCGCAAAAGAAAGCGCCTCTTTTGGAGGCCGCCATGCACTCGACGAGGGACATCTGGTCGACAGTCAAGCTCTTGCCGAGTTTCTGCGCGACCGCCGCCGCGGCGCTCGCCGTCAGCCCCGACAGGTGGTTGGCGCCGTCGGGCTCGAGGTCGGCCGCGCCGCAGTGGGCCGGGAGCAGCGCGCGGCAGGCCGGAGACGGCGCCGCGCGCAGGCTTCCGAGGAGGACGCCGATGGCATTGGACTCTGCCCCGACGTAACCACCGATGCAGACGAGCACCCGGCCAGATGCGAACGAGCCTCGCTGGAGGCGAAGAGTCTGTCGATCCTCGCCCGCCACGGACGCGCACATGTGAAATTCGCCGAAGTGCGCTGCGCGCGCGAACAGCGGTCCTTTCCTGCCGCCGGTGATGTCCAGGATCTCCTCCGCCGCGGCCTTCAGGTCGCCCTCTTCGACCACCAGCGCCATGCGGTCGCGGACGTTCAAGGACGCGTCCACCAGAACCGCCAAGTGCACGAGGTCGCTGAAGTCGTCGTCATCGGGCGCACCGTTGACTCGGATCATGCCCCCCTGCCCGGCGTAAGCGAAGTCCCCGCTGAGAAATTTCTGGACGGCGGAGTTCTTCAGCTGATGCATCGCGTAGGAGAACCACTCTGCCATGGGCACGACGTCGCCGAAGCGAGGCTGGCGCGCGCGGAAAGAAACCGTGCCGCACGTGCAGCGGTCGCCGAGCATGTCGCCGAGGCCTCGCGGGCCTCTGGCAAAGCGCGATCGGCAAGGGTCAGTCGATGCCAACCACTCCTCGAGGTCGGAGAAGCCCAGCTGCACGGGCGCGCCTCCGCGAAGCGTTCGCTCCATCACCTGGCTCAGCGCCCGCACTTTTGATGCCTCGTCGCGGAGCGCTGTCTTCAACTGCGCGTGGTGCCCGTGCATCTGCTCCTGCGTCGCCGTCCAGATGGAGCGCAGCGCCGACGCGATGCCAGCGGCGCTCTCGTCGCTCAGGACGACCGCCAAGCTCGAGCGACGGGGTCGGCTGGATAGTGCGACCATTGTCCGCGCCAGCTCTCCGGCGGGCACTGCGCGCGCGCAGGACTGCGCCCGCCGGGGGCAGTCCCTGACGCTTCGGCGGCCTAACTGCGGCTGGGCGATGCCATTCAAAGTCGGCCACTGAACTGAGCGACTCAACGCCACCACCGCCACGGAGAGGACCTTGGGGCAGCGATCGGTCGCTCTGTATCCGTATTCCAGCGGCACGGCCAAGTCCCACGCGTCGGCGGCGACAGCCGAGGCGACTCCGCCGCCCCAGTCGCAGGGCTCGAAGCCGAGCCTCTCCAGCGGCACACCGCGCGCCGCGACGTCGGGCAGCACGTGGTTGAAGCACGCCAGGATCTGGCGAGGGGCGGAGGCGGCCATCGATGTGAACGAGAAGACAGAACAGCAAAGCTGATCTCAGAGTTCGGGATAGTGGACAGGCCAGCAAAGCTGAGCCACGTCAAGAAGCGGAAGGTGGACAGGCCAGCAAAGCTGAGCCACGTCAGTAAGATCTCACAAATGCAAGATTGAGCCAACGGCGGAAGACCGCATTCGGACCGCGACCTTGACCCCTGGCACTTTTACACCAGCAACTACATGAGAACTGTCATGTACGGAGACAACCGAAGCATGGCATGTCGCATGCGAGGTTTGCCGTAAACCCCACGTAATCGTGATCAGTTTGTTTCTGTTCTGCCGCGGCAATTGCCCGGAAAGCCCCCTGGCGGACAATTGCAACAAAACGGCCCAAGACGGCGTTCACAACCGGCGGGCGCCCACTCACCATCATCATCATCATCACCATCATCATCAGCATCGTCATCATCGTCGCCATCACAATCATCATCACCAGCATCACCAACATCACCATCATTATCCTCATCATCATCATCATCATCATCGTCGTGTTCGTCTTCATTTTCATATTCAAGTTGGGATTTTTCCTCATATTCCTCGTCCTCTCCCTCCTCGTCCTCCTGATCAATTTGTTTCTGTTGTGTCGCAGCAATTGTCCGGAAAGCCCTCTGGCGGACAATTGCACCAAAACGGTTCAAGATGGCGTTCACAAGCGGCGGGCGCCCGCTCACCATCATCATCATCATCATCATCACCGTCGTCGCCATCACAATCAACAGCACCAGCATCACCAGCATTATCATCATCATCATCATCATCACAATCATCATCATCATCATCGTCGTCGCCATCACAATCAACAGCACCAGCATCACCAGCATCATCATCATCGTCTTCATATTCTTATTCAAATTTAAATTCATGTTCATATTCATCGTCCTCTCTCTCCTCGTCCTTCTGATCAATTTGTTTCTGTTCTGTCGCAGCAATTGTCCGGAAAAACCCTTGGCGGGCAATTGCAACAAAACGGTCCAATATGGCGTTCACAACCGGCGGGCGCCCGCTCACCATCATCATCATCATCACCTTCATCATCGTCGCCATCACAATCATCACAATCATCATCGCCAGCATCACCAGCATCACCATCATCACCATCATCGTATTCGTCTTCATGTTCAGCTTCAAGTTTAGATTCATTCGCATATTCCTCGTCCTCTCCCTCCTCGTCCTCCTGATCAGTTTGTTTCTGCTCTGTCGCAGCAATTGTCTGGAAAGCCCCCCGGCGGACAATTGCAGCAAAACGGCCCAGAACGGCGTTCGCAACCGGCGGGCGCCCGCTCACCATCATCATCATCATCATCGTCGTCATCATCATCATCATCATCATCTTCTTCATCATCGTCGCCATCACAATCATCATCACCAGCATCACCAGCATCACCATCATCATCCTCATCACCATCATCGTATTTGTCTTCATTTTCAGTTTCAAGTTTAGATTCATCCGCATATTCCTCGCCCTCTCCCTCCTCGTCCTCCTGATCAGTTTGTTTCTGTTCTGCCGCAGCAATTGTCTGGAAAGCCCCTTGGCGGACAATTGCAGCAAAACGGTCCAAGATGGCGTTCGCAAGTGGCGGGCGCCCGCTCAACATCATCATCATCATCATAATCATCATAATCATCATCATCATCATCACCATCATCATCATCATCTTCGTTTTCATATTCATATTCAAGTCTAGATTCATGTTCATATTAATCGTCCTCTCTCTCCTCGTCCTTATGATCAGTTTGTTTCTGTTCTGTCGCGGCAATTGTCCGGAAAAGCCCCTGGCGGACAATTGCAACAAAACGGCCCAAGACGGCGTTCACAACCGGCGGGCGCCCACTCACCATCATCATCATCATCATCATCATCATCATCATCATCATTTTCATCATGACCATCGTCGTCGCCGTCATCATGATCACCCGCATCACCAGCATCACCAGCATTATCATCATCATCGTCATCATCCTCATCATCATCATCGTAATCATCCTCATCATCATCAGCATCATCATCTTCGTTTTCACGTTCGTGTTCACTAGCACCACTCGCGCGCTTCGGTTCTAGCAACTTCCAGCCCTTGACAATCTCACAGCTGCGTGCACATGCGCACGCGCACATGCAACGTCACGAGTTACCCACAAGTGGTTCGAACATGAGGTGAATAAGTATTAAGAATGCGGGCCAAGCAGAGACGATTCCCGACAAGGCGGAGGAGTCGGAGGGAGATGGCAAGGAGCGCGCGGGCACACAGGACGGCCCCAGGAAGGCGCGCAAGAGTAGGGGCGACGACGACGACAACGGGCGGAGCGCAGGATCTCCAGGCACGGCGGGGATACCCGGACCCTCTCTCCCAGGCGAGCTCCGCCGGGGATCGCCGCCTTCACGGTCGTCGTCGTCGTCGTCGTCGTCGTCGTCGCCGCCGCCGCCGCCGCCGCCGCCGCAGACGCCGTCGTCGTCGTCGTCGTCGTCGTGGTTGTCGTGGTCGCGGTCCACGTCCACGTCTACGTCCACGTTGTCGTCGACGCCGCCGCCGCCGGGGAAGGGAGGGTCATAGCCGAACAAAGGAATTCGCATGGATCTTCCAAGCTGATGCCTCTGTCGCCTCTTGGCTCCCGAACATATTTTGCACTGCTCGAGAGCATCGCGCAGGCAATCAACCCCGGGGCCATGCAGATCGCGACGCGGCGGGCGGTGGGGGAATGCAGACCCAGAGATCCCACGTCGTGATTTGTTGAATACGGGCTCACCCGAAGTCCCCCGAAGTCCTGACAAATTCCCCGGGGCCGGTTTTTCGCCCTGGGTCGAGTCGTGACGTTCCCGGGCCCTTTGAGGGCCTCCGGAGGCCGAACATAGCAAAACACAAAAAAGCAAAACATTCTTATTGAAAAAAAAAAAAAAAAAACGACGTCGGAGATCTGGGGGGGCGAGGAGTTCCGGCGAGGTGTGCTCGCGCGGCTGCCGAGCGGCCGCGCCCTCGGAAAGCGGCGCCGCTGCCGAGAGAGCGAGCGCCGCGCCAGGAAGTTCGAAGCGCCCTCCGTCGGCGGGCCCACCATGACCCCCCCCGAGCCGGACCCAGATCTCCGACGTCGTGATTTTTCCCCACATCCTGAAAGGGATTCTTGTTTTCCCAGAATACCTTCTCCTTCTCCTTTTCCTCCTCCTTCTCCTCCTCCCGCTTCCTTCCACTCTACCGTGCCTGCCATACCACATAACATACCATACTAGCTTATACCATATCATATCCATACTACACTACACCATAACAATACCATACTACACTACACCATGCAATACCGTACTGTACCATGCCATACCATACCGTACCATACCATAACATACCATAATACACTATACCATGCCATACCGTACCATACCGTGCCATACCACAGAACATACCATTTAAACATAAACCATATCATATCATACTACACCACACCATAACATGCCATACTACACTATACCATGCCATACCGTACTGTACCATGCCATACCGTACCATACCATAACATACCATGCTACAATATACCATGCCATACGTACCCGACCGTGCCATACCACATAACATACCATAATAATATGTTCCATATCATACCATACTACACTACACCATAACCTGCCATACTACACTATACCATGCCATACCGTACTGTACCATGCCATACCGTACCATAACAAACCATAACATACCATACTACACTATACAATGCCATACCGCACCATACAGTGCCATACCATATAGCATACCATACTAACCTATACCATATCATATCATACTACACTACACCATAACATACCATGCTACACTATATCATGCCATATCGCACTGTGCCATGCCATACTGTACCTTACCATACCATAACATACCATACTACTCCCACCCCTCCAGGGAGGCCCCGCCAGAGCGAGCAGGGCATCGAGATACCATGCTATTTATCCGGTTTCGTGCCCTTCCCACTTCTCCAGGGAGGCCCCGCCTGAGCGAGCAGGGTATTGGAATACCGTGTGATTTATCACGTTTCGCGCCCCTCCCACCACTCCAGGGAGGCTCCGCCAGAGCGAGCAAGGTATCGGTATACCATATGATTTCTCAAGTTTCGCGGACCTCCCACCCCTCCAGGGAGCTTCTGTTCTGAAGCAACAATTGCCCGGAAAACCTCCCGGCGGACAATTGCAACGACACGCCCCAATTGCAGCGCGCAGTTGATATTGGCACGGGTAAATATCAATGCAGGCCTCGCCATTGGACAGCAACAGGAAATCGGACCAACATCTACTACACCTATCAAACTCCTGCTCACAAGAGCCATGTTTGACATCTGCAACTCGACGAGCGCAGTTTTGTGTTTGACACTGAAGAAGCCTGTTGGTTTGCGATTGCTTGAAGAACTGGGAGCCCGCAGAAGTCTCTGAGAGAGGACATCAACAGGAAATCTAACCAAACATCTACTACACCTATCAAACTCCTGCTCACAAGAGCCACGCTTGACCTCTGCGGCTGGGCGAGCCAAGCTCTGTGTTTGACACTGCAGAAGCCTATTGTTTTGCCATTGCTTGAGGAACTGAGAGCCCGCAGGGGTATCTGAGAGAGAGAGCTGCAACAGGAAATCTAACCAAACATCTACTACACCGATCAAACTACTACTCACAGGAGCCTTCTCCCCCCTCTCTGCGTACTCTTCCTCGCCATTATTATTTCCTCTTGCCCCCATCGCCGCTCCGCCCGCCCCCTCTCAGCTCTTCAACTTCAGCTTCAGCTCAGCTGGGAAATTCGCGTACAAGTTCTTCGTGATCAGGCTGGAATGCTCCAGTTTCATCTTCTTGAACACCTTTGGCCAGGCCTCCTCCACGCTCTCGTTCTCCAGTCGGCGCGCCGACGGGTCAGCTGGCCACTTGAGCTCCTGGGCGGTGGATTCGAAGTGCTGCAGGGCGCTGAGCTTGCCGCGGTCCACCATCTTGGCAGCGCCAATCA